ATATATTAGGGAAGGGTGTACAGGGTGTATTTTAGGGAAGGGTGCACAGGGTGTACAGGGTCTCACTGCGTAGATTGGCCTCATAGCAATCCACCTGTTTACAGCCTCCCAAGTGCTGGCGCTACCACGCCCAGTCTCAGTCGCTGTCTCAGCATGCCCTGGGGGCAGGACTGGCATGGCAGGCCCGAGGATCAAACTCCTGGCCCCTGCGTCTGCCTAAGCAGGCACTTTAATCTGCTGAGCTATTTGGCCAACCAGTATTTTTTGATGGTTGTATAATCTCAGTTCTCAAGAGTCTTACTAATTTATTTCTGCTAAAAAGAATGAATGATATTTTAAAGGTTAAAAATTTGCTTAGGAAGACACCTTGTAGTGGATCTCTGCAGTTCTCATGACAGGAGACTGCTCAGAGCTCTCGTTTGTGAGGCCCGCTGTTCACGTTAATTTCTCATTCTTTCTAAAATATGTAAAACTTTTAAAAAAGTAAGCACAGCACACTCTGGCAAGTTTACTTCTTGAATGTACCTGTGGTAGGTGGGCCATGTTCTCCTTATAAAAGTGTCTTTGTTTACCCAAGCCTTGTATCTTTTTCTTGGTAATTTAAAATTGTATTTGTTCATTCACTTGAGAAATATCACATACCTGTTTTTCTCAACCTGTAATCATTAACATTCTAAGTAATCTTAAACCACAATCATCAAACCTTTGAGAAACTGATGGTTCATAGTCCTTCAGAGATGGGATTTCAAGAGGTAGGCAGACATTTTCAGTTATAGCATGCTTGAAGAAAGCAACTTTCAGAGATGATTTTTCTAAGTTAAAAAAAGATCATCTCTTATGTAAGAGGGAAATTTTTAACCTCTAATTATTGCATTAGCTTGAGACTTTTTTGGGGTGGGTACTGGGTACTGAATGTAGGATTTGTGCTTCTGCAGGTGCTTGTGCTGCTGTCCCTACAGAGCAATGTAGTAGACCTCTCTGGAATGAAGACAAGTAGTAAAACTTGTTTTCAATTTTTAGAAAGGGGGAAAAAAGAAACTAATGGAATGCTTGAGTTTGCATCAATTTTTATAGTTATTTTATCTTTTGCTAATAAGTATATATAATTTTACCATTTAGTATTTGTCTTAGGCTTTTCCCATTGCTATGAATAAATATCTGAATAAATATCTGAAGCTCATTGCTGTATTAAGAAAAGAGGTTTGTTTAGTTCATTGTTTTGGAGACTAGAAGTAGAAACAGTATGGAACTGGTTTTGGCAAGAGCTTCCCAGGTTGCATTCCCTCAAGGCAGGTGGCGTCATGTGGGAATGGACACCATGGAGAGATCTGGTGACAATACAGGAAGACAGAAAGAGCAAGGTGGGGGTAGGCTTGCTCTTCTATAGCCCTTTGATGAGAGGGGTTATAAGACTGAGGTCCCATGAGATCTCATCGGTGGTTTCCTGGACAGCACTCTGACCTGGTGATGCCCCAGAATGCTGTGCTACACACTGTGTTCCTACCAATGTGGCCTCAACATGGCAGTGCTTATGTATTTTCTTATCCTTTCTGGTAGGTGTGAAAAATATAATAATGTAGCAAATTGTTGCATCATGAGAAGCAACTGGGACTCGGTAACATACAGTTTAATTTGGTTCTATCGTTAATTTTATAACCTTAGACCAATTATTTTCTATGAATATCACTTCTTAACTATGAAATGAGTTATAAATTTTGATATTTCCTAGTATCCAAACATAAGCATGTGTCACTTCTATGATTTTAAAAGCTATGTATATTTTTGAAAGACAGTAATATGCCCTACCCTTACACACTTAGAAGATTTCTGTAAGAGTCAAATAGTTCATGTGTTAAAACTTACAAAACACTTCAGATAAAACTAGAGTTGGCAATTGCTTATTATAGTAGCAATGTAATCTTTGGTAGGAAGGGTGAAAAACATAAGTCTTTTGGGTGTTACATTCTTTACTTAAAATATTCTTGGATCACTATTCTTACAGAATATTTTATTTTATTTTTAATTTTTATTTTTATTTTGTGATGTTGAGGAGGAACCCCAAGGTCCCATACATTCTAGGCAAGGGCCCTACCACTGGGTTACATTCCCAAGCCTTTGTAAGATAATTTTTGAACTTATTGAAGTACTCTGAATATTAAAGAGCTCCCTTTACAATACAATTGAGAACAGAGATGAGCAGAATTGATGGGATAATTTACAGGCAGTTTTCCTACCAATTATCTTCTAGCAATGGGATGAATTCTAAGGCTCTATTTTAGTAAGGCAGCCTGGGGTAGTTTGGTTATCCTCAGGAGTTTAATGACTGTCACAGTCAGTTTTGACTGTGTGCTTTGCAGACCTTATTGTCAATCTATTTCTACCCAAGCCCTTTGCTTTTCTGACTTTCATTTTCCTATTTCTCTGAGGATTTAACCCCGTGTGGGAAGAAACCCTGACATTTACAGTACACATGCCAGAAACAGCATTGGTTCGGTTCCTTGTGTGGGATCATGATCCCATTGGAAGAGACTTCGTTGGACAAAGGACTGTGACCTTCAGCAGCTTAGTGCCTGGTAGGTGGGAGCTGATTTTTCTCTGCAGAGTGATCATTCTTTTTTGGAGTATTTAATATATAACTTGTGCCTTATAAGTTATATAGCATGTGTGTTATATAGAATATGTGTCATTTGATAAGTGTGATGGCTAATGTGCTCTTTAAAATGTAAAGGACTATATAGTTAAGATATATGTTAACACTCTTGCACCCAAAGAAAGTAAATGCAAATTCAACTAAAAGTAAGCCACTTTTTCTGTTTTTATCAGGCTACCGGCATGTCTATTTAGAAGGACTCACAGAAGCATCCATATTTGTTCACATAACAATTAATGAAATCTATGGAAAGGTAAGAACAATTCTAGGGCCTAAAACCACTGAGAACCATGATATGGTCCCTAGCAAAGTTACTGCCTGATTGTGTAAAAGGAAAGTGCCTTTTAACAAATTGTTCTTTGCTGGAGGGTTACAGGTCAGCCCAGCAAGCCCTGCCTGCTCTCCCAACCACATCCCATCCATATGTGTTCTTTCCTTCCTCCCACCCAGAGACCCTTCAGGGCTTGATAGAATGGAGGAAACTACTACATTCTTAGTAAACCATGCACTGGACTAAGGCAATTGAAGGCATATTCAACGCTGAGCTTCAGTTTACTCCTTAGAACTACTCAGTTGGGCTGGTGAGATAGCTCAGCGGTCTAAAGCGCCTGCCTAGGCAAGGTGAGGCAAGCACAGGGACCCTGGTTCATGTGGTTTGATTCCCGGCATCATATGCTGACCAGCCCCACCCCAAGGGCAGACTGAGCCAGCCACAAGAGAGAAAGAAGAAGAAAGAAAGAAAGAAAGAAAGAAAGAAAGAAAGAAAGAAAGAAAGAAAGAAAGACCCAGTTGGCTGCAGTGGGAAATGTCGTGTCTCATGTTTGAGGAACTGCCTGACTGCTGGGCTGTGCATCCATCCAGTTCTGGGCAGGACATGTATATGGCATGATTATTAATTGTAAACCTATAAATTGTGAATGAATTTAAAATTATCCTTAAAACTTAGAATAGAGGAACCACAAAAATGTATTCTAGTTCTTTCCTGCTACTGTTCTCTTCATTGTAGAACTGATTTGAGATTTAAAAGTCAGTTGCTGCTCATCTTCTCCTGCCAGTGGTTGGAGACGCGAGCACTGGTATAGATTAACAAGGCCAGATAGGATTTGGAGGGACTGGAGGAGCACTGAATAGGGCTGAGGAATGTCCTGTGCTGGCTTTTACCAGAAAGTCAGTGTGGTCCGTAGCTTCTGCCGGAAAGGTGTTTCCCGTTCTCAGTGCCTTTGCCTCTTCATGTGTGAATAGTTCTTATCTCATTAATGGATTTATGTTATGCTTAGAAAGCTGTGCCACATGTAGTAAATGCCCCAAAATGTGGCTAACACTAATATTATTATGACTACAATCCAATTGAAGATGAAGTTGGGGGCGTATGTTTATCTTCACCTCAGTCAGCAAAGGAAAGTTAAGAATCTTTATTTCTAAGAATAAAGTTTTATGCTATGGCTTCCTATGTTTATTCCTGGATTTCTATTCTGCTTTTTGGTGTCTTTCTACTTCCCAAGTAGACACAAATCTAAATTATTTAAAAATGATTCTTTAATTCTAGGATGCCCAAGTTAACTATACAGTATGTTTGAGATAAACAGTGAAATTAAAAAAATATGTGTGTGTGTGTGTGTGTGTGTGTGTGTGTGTGTGTGTGTTCTATAGGATTTCTGTCCTTTCCCTTAAACAAATGCCATTTTGGTGCTAGATTCTTTATTACTCTCAGAGTGTGTTCAGGTTGGGAGGCATATACTACCATGTGGGGGGACATAAGAGTAAAAATCACCAAAATGGAGAGAAAGTGTTTATAAAAGTATATTCACTTTTTCTTTTATTTCCTGGTACCACCTTCTTGATGAGCCCAAACTCTCTTTATTTTTTTTCCCTTGCAGTGGAGCCCTTTAATCCTCAACCCAAGTTATACTATTTTGCATTTTCTAGGAGCCACAAAGGTAGTTTCTCAGCATGGTGCTTGTGCTCGCTGGCATATTTCTTTTGAAACAGTTACAGCGCATGCTTTCTTGTATCACTCCATTTTTCTCTGCTTAGCACTTTGAAACACTCACTCATAGTTGCTTAAAGGTTGTTGAAGTGTGTAACAGTGTGGCAACTGTGGAAGCCTTTCCCCCAGCCTTGTCCTCTCTGGGTTGGAAGCTTCCAGCAAAAGCTGGACAGGAAGGATACCTTCCTCACAAAAGAAGGTGGCTAGGGTGTGCATGCTGCTATGAAAATGTGCTGTGGGCTGTTGTTCTTGTTTTGAATCTTCAGTGGCTGTACAATTTCTGTTTGTATTTATTTTCCATGGAACTGTTATTTTAAAATCTGTTGATGTGATGATGGTTAATTAATTTGTGGTTGATCCTTTTGTGTCTTTAGAACAGACAGCTTCAAGGTCTGAAGGGACTGTTCAATAAGAATCCCAGGCACAATTCTTCGGAAAACAATCCCCATTATATCCGGAAACGATCAATTGGAGATAGGATTCTGCGCCGCACAGCCAGTGCTCCCGCCAAAGGCAGAAAGAAGAGCAAAATGGGCTTGCAAGAAATGGTAGAAATAAAAGATTCTGTGTCTGAGGCCACCAGAGATCAAGATGGCATTCTGAGGAGGACCACGCGGAGTTTGCAAGTCCGTCCCGTCTCTATGCCCATCGATAAAAGCCTGTTGGGGGCTTTGTCGCTGCCTATATCTGAGGTGGCAAAAGATAATGAAGGAAAAGAAAACTCTCTGGGTAAGATGCTTTGAGTTTCTCCACACTGCATTTTGGTCCCTTGTTTCCATTATGAAGTGGTTGACATTCTGCTATCAAAATAAAATATACCAAAAAATAAGTAAATAGTTTTTATGTAGTCTTCTAGACCAGAAGATTATAAAGTTTGGGGAAGGGAAGGGCCCAAAACCTATTTCCTCCTCACCTAGAAACTTGAAATGCCACTGTCTTTAGATGTTGCTGGTGAGGCATAAGGGCAGCTACCCAGCATGGTGGGTTGGAAGGTATTGGTCTGTGAAGCAGGACAGAGGAGGTGAAACCTACAAAATATGAAGAGCAATACTGGTTTCCTGGGTAGTGGTACCGTTGCTTAACTTGTTCTGAGATGGAGTGGACTTGTATTGACTCCTCTAGTTGATTATAGTTGTGTTACTTGTTTTGCCGTATAACACATGTCTATGGTTGGAAATGTTTATGTCTCGAGAAGGAAAACAGTTGTTCACAGTAAGCGACCTCAGGAAAAAAAAAATGACCTCTTACTTTAAAAATCTTTGCCTTCTCAGGGGTAGTTGAGGCAGTGCTTTCCTGGGTTCTCACTTGCCCTGTCTGTGCATTTTGTCAGGGAAGATCGTGTATAGCTTCTGTCTGGTCACAGACTCCAAAGGGATGGGGGCAGGTGCTACCTGTTTCCCCTTAATTTGAATGTATTGCACATTCAGGTCTGCAGGAACTCAATAAAGAGTAGTATAAGGTGTCAAAGAGCTCTTAACTTTTGTCTGGGACTCCCCATCCTATTCTAGGTAATTTAAGTGCTAAAACTGGATTTTACATCACTGGAACAAATATATTTTATTTAAATTAAATTATCTCAGACTAGTAGAATGTGATGGATCATATCTTTAGCAAAGTGATTCTTTATTAGTTTACTTTTGTGATCCATTTTCCCACAAATGCAATTTTGCTTGTGTTGATTTTTGTTATAAAATATTCTAAGGAGGAGGAAAACCAATTTTTGGGTAGTTTATTTGAAAGAGAAAGGGGAAATTCAAAACTTTGGTATTTGTGAATAGCAGTATCAGAGACAAAATATGTGTTTTAAAATTTAAATTGAAAGTTCATCTTTGGAAAATAGAGCTATCTATAATATGAACTATTCATAATTAACTGCTAATGCTATATATAGCTAAGATGTTAATATCATTAAGGTGAGATAGAAAGCATATTGAAGGGGTTGGGGAGATGGCTCAGTAGAATAAGCACTTGCCTGGCAAGCCCAAGTGTCTGAGCTCAATCCCTGGTTCCACCAAAAAAATTAAAAAAAAAAGAAAAAGCATATTGAAGTGATATTTCTTTCCCACCTTTAAAAAATGTCATATGAATTGTCATATATCTTAAGCATAAGGTAACAGAAAAATTAATAATCATGCAGCAATTCAAATTATATTTCCGAAAAACACTAAGTGGAGAAAAAGCAGCATAAAGTTTTATGCATGTATAGCAAAAGCTACAGTGGCTATCTAAGTGGCAACATCATAGGATATTTGGGTTTTTATAATTTGGGGGATTTAAATATTTTTGACAATTTTTTCAGGTAGGAAAATATTAATTTAAATTTATTTTCTTATATGACTGAGCTTTACAAGATTTGAAATAATTCTATCAAGAAGAAGTGAATGCTTAATTTTATCTTAGCACTGCATTGACCATAAAGATCCCAAATTACTGTAATTACTGTAAACTGTGTTTTTATAGCTCCTCTCTGTGCCTCCTACTGCCAGTTTTAGAGGAGGATGCAGTGTATAATATTCAGAATAAAAATATGATTAAGAAACTATTAAGTATTAGCAATGGCATAGAATTGATAATCAATTCTTTATCTTTACATTTTTAAGAATACATATTCCTATTTACTGTATTTATTACCCCTTTGAGTTGTCTTAGAAATCAAGTAGTTAAATTAAATCTTTTGCCAGTGTGCTTTAAAAATGGTATTATGATTTTTTCTTTACTAATACATATATAATTTTGAAAGCTTATAGTATTTTGCTTACAGGTACTGCAGTTCTTTGTTTAACAGAGCTGTCTTGTTCTGTTTTTATTGTCATGCTTCTGTGTAGTACAAATCTGACTAGGAAACAACTTAAGGTAATCTTCATTGTAAAAGTATGGTAACTCATTGACATCTTTTTGACAATGAATATTACATCCTTGGTTGATGTAATGGACATTCAAAGGGAAGCTTCAGTGAAACTCCTATAAATATAGTTTACCATTTATTCATCACACAGACAGTTTGTCACAGCCAGTGCAATCCATAGTTATATTCTGTCACAGTGTAACAGATTTACATTCTCCATTTGTCTGTCTCAAGACAAACATGAGTGTTTGCAGGTCCTATGTGAAGTGATGTGTGTCACCTAAAATGTTGTTTGTTTCATTCAACAGAAAATAAAGAAGGTGGAAAAGGGAAGGCAAGTGTAAAAGACCCACATTTTCCAAATTTCAACAAAAAGTTATCCTCCTCCAGCACTGTTCTCCACAAAGATACCAGCCAAGGGGGCCCTGCTGTTTTCGCTGCCCCAGAGTCAGTCATGGGAGAACAGTTGGGAGTGCCACGCCCTCCAGGCAGGAGAACCAAGTCGAGTATAACAGGTGATTGCCAAGCAAACCACTGTCCCAACAAATCCCTTTCCCCGAGGCAGCACATAGCTCTTAATCCTCCAGCTAATCTAACCCCAAATTTGCATGGTGTGAAAACCAATGAAGAGAAGAGTGCCCGAGGCTTTGTGGAAGGAAAGAGCATGTTGTCTGAAAGCATCCTTTCTCAAAGCACTCTGGAGATCAAGAAGCTAGAAGGTGGCAAGGAGAAAGGCAGAGCTGTAACATCCTTTTCTCTCTCCGATGTCTCCATGCTCTGTTCTGACATACCTGACTTACATTCAACTGCCATTCTGCAGGATACTGAGATTTCTCATCTTATTGACAATGTCACTTTGACAAATGAGAATGAGCCCGGCAGTTCCATCTCAGCCTTGATTGGCCAATTTGATGAGACCAACACTCAGGCTAACCTCACAGTGGTTTCTCATCTTCATGGTACTAGTATGATATCAGGGCATCCTTCTTTTCCTACCACAGCCCTAGAAACACCCATCATGCATAATTTTTCCAAGGGAAAACTGAGGGCACCATTCCTGTGTTCATCTCCTGAGATGATCTCATCCTCGAGTCCTGACACCACCAAACTTGCGGCATACACAGTTACTTGTGAAACAACAGGTGCTGCCATCTCCAAAACTAAACCAGATGGTGACCTGTCTACTAAGACCAAGACGAGAGCCACGGATGGCAACCTGGCTAGATCTGCTAATGGTCCTCATGGCTGGTTATCAAAAAGTCCCACCAGTAAAGAAGACTGGGGAGTACCAAAGAGCTGCAGGCCTTCCCTTTCCACTGACTCGACACTAGAAGACGTAACAGATGACCCCACTTTTGGCATAAATTCTGGAGAGAGCAGCCTTGTGGAAATCGATGGGGAATCAGAAAATCTGTCTGTGACATCCGATAGCATAAGTCAACTTGCCTCTTCATTAAAACTCAAGTATAGTCAGGATGTGGTGGAACACTTTCAAAGGGGTTCGAGAAATGGCTACTGTAAAGAGCCTCTCCACTGTTCTGTCCCTGAAGTATTCAATAATATTCAAGTTATTAAAAATCAAAATATTTCTTGTCTAACCTATAAGGGTGCTGGCTTTGTACATAACCATTTCTCACATTCAGATGCAAACGTGAACCCAGTATGTGAGTCGCAGCAGTCTAGTGCTCCAGATGCGCATGGCCCTGTACCCAAGCAGTCAACGTATTCTCCTCTGCCTGCTTTGAACCTGCCAAGTCCTTGCAAATCCAAAAGCCTTGGGGATTTAACCTCAGAGGACATAGCCTGCAACTTTGAGAGCAAGTACCAGTGTATCAGTAAGAGTTTTGTTACCACCGGTATCAGAGACAAGAAGGCTGTTACCATAAAGACAAACTCGCTGGAGCCTTTAGATACCCTAACTGAGCAGCTTCGGAAGCTGCTCTCCTTTGACCAAGAAGACAGCTGCCAAGTCCTGTATTCAAAGCAGGATGCCAGTCAGTTTCCCAGGGCATTGGTCAGAAAGTTGTCATCCCGAAGTCAAAGCAGAGTGCGTAACATTGCCAGTCGTGCCAAAGAGAAGCAGGAAGCCAGCAAGCAAAAAGTGGTGACCTCTCCTAATGGGGGAGGAGTGGTTCTTAGAAACAAATCCTCAGTACCTGCCCCAGCTGTGAACCGCCACTCTACAGGCTCCTACATTGCAGGCTACCTGAGGAACATGGAAGGGGGCAGCCCCGAGGACCGCGGCATTCCCGAGGGGGCCTGTACAGCCCTTCGCTATGGCTATTTTGACCAGTTTTGTTCAGATAATTCTGTTTTGCAGACTGAGCCAAGCAGTGATGATAAACCAGAAATTTATTTTCTTTTGAGACTGTGAACTATATAAAGCTGTATTTTTCAATGTTTACAAGGTATTCTATAGAATGTTAGCATTTTCAGTTGTCAGTAACTATGACCCTTGGCTTTGAGATGAATTTCAAATGTATTTTAGACTTGTATTTTGGTCTGTATTTGAATTCCTATGTTCTCTGTGTGTTTGTGTGTGAAGTCTGTAGCACTTCCCTCACACCTACGATCCCTCTCCTCCGAGGTGTTGCACACTGCTATCAGTACGATGTCTGTGCATGCCCTAGATGTGAAATTTCTCAGCAGCTTGGGTTACAATGTACTTACTGTTTCACAAAGATGCTTTTCACTGTGTCCTCAGATTGTGGTCGTAAATGTCATTCTTATTCTCTTTTTGAGTTGATTAGGAGACTGCAAATGACAAAGGGATGAATTCTTTCTTTGAAGTTGTTTTCACTTTTCCTTCTATATCAAGAAACCCAGATACATTTTAATAATTCAGTTAAATGAAATTTAAATAGTTACCTTGTCTTTTAAGATTTTGTTACCCTACTCGAAATGAGTTCCAAGGAAGATAGCTGCTTGTGGAGCCCCGTCTTTCCCTCCGCCTTTTAGAATAAACTATGAGGAAGAAAGCAAACTTCTGTACATAAGAACAAAATTGTTTGTTTTACATAAATTTTGTTACATATTTTTGCTAATAGCTTTGTATGTAACAAGAACCTAGTTGCCAAGTTATTTGTCATACTTTTGAATTTTCTGTTGAGTAACAGGTTTGCAAATAAAGGCTTTCAGATTGAGGGATGTCTGTCAGATTACAGATAGGAGTAGCACAAACTGAAGGCTTCCCCAGAGCTGTCAAGAGTAAAAAACAAAATATTTTCTCATAATAAAATCCAAATGAATAGATAATAATTAGAAGAAACCTTTTCCCCTTAGGGAATGAAGTAACTATATTTTAGTACTGACATACATTATTTTCACTGTGAATCCATTTTTTAACTGTATGTTCAGATGTCCCTCTTTGCTTTTTTGTAACATTAACTGCAATGATGTTCTTCCTGGAATCCATGAAAATACAATTAAAGCAGATTTTTAAATAATGTTTTTTCTTTTTGTTTGTTTGTTTTTGTTTTCAGCGATTGAAAGTCATATGATGACTGTGGAGAAAGGGACCCAAACCACTAGGTTTTTTGTTTTTTTCCTTTTTATGTGTTTGTAGTAGAATTGAAAATTTCCCTATAGAGGATGATTTTAGACAGCACTTTGCCTCTACGTGCTCATTGTACTTGAATGAGCATATTTGTAAGGTAACTTGATAAAAGAGCAAATGTAATGAGTTTCTGTGCACTTGGGATTGCTATTTCAGTTTTAAAATAATCCTTGCCCACTGACTCTGGTGGTGGTGGTGGTCAGAATGGGTGGGTGGAAGAGCCACAGGGAAAGGGCTGCATTTGGCAAAGGGAAAGGACCCCAAGCTTGAGCATCGCCTCCCCTTTGGACAGCCATTTGGCTGCTGAATGGAGGCAAAGTTATCACAGTGAAAGTGAGAGAGAGACCCATTTCCATGCTTTAGGGAGCCTGATATTTGTGTATTCAATGAGCCCTTAAAGTTCTATCCTTAGGCCTCAGTTTATTCACAAAGTATCACTGACTTGAAGTAGGAAACACAATGTAAATCTATTGAAATAAAAATCGATCTATTTATACATATGGTTGGGCCAAGCAGTGGGTTATCTGAACAGTGCTCCAGGTGTCCATTGTCTGCCCCCCAAACATGCTGTACTCCTTTAACTGATAAGAAATAAGAACAGAGGGGAAAGTCATCTCATGATAGCTAGTTGGGGACTGTCTCATAAGAAACAGGAGGCAAGAAAGCTGATGTTTTAATAAAAGTGTTGGATATTCAGATTAGCGTCCGCAGTATTTCACTTGTTTGGAAGATGGATAAACAACTCACTAAGTCTCAAGGAATCTCGCACTAAGTGAGGTTTAGTCAGGATATCAAAAGGCTTTTTTGTGACATTATTTTGAGAACTAGCGAGTCCAGGGAGCCGCTAATCTGTGCAAAGTCTGGGTGGAGTTTTGGTGGTGGAAGAGTCACCTGCCACAGAGGACAGAAGCAGAGTTTCCACGTGTTTCTTTGGTGGTGAAGTCGCCCCTCCTATCAAGCTTTAATTTCCTGTGCTTGCAGGTTGAGTGTTGGGAGATGGAGCCCCTTGCCACAGTTGTGAGCCTGTCTCAGGTCTGTATCTGGAGACTCCTCTGTATGGTGGCAGTGGAGGGTGGTGGCAGCACCATAGTGACAGACTCAACAGCTGCACAGAGTTGACTGAGCGGGATGTCATGGGGGGTGACAGGAGCAGGAGTGGGTCATAAGCTGGGTCTCACACAGTGCTTCTCCTGCATCAGTCTGGTTTTCTTGCAACCTCTTATATCATAGATCTTGTCTAAGAATAAGATATTTCCACTTTTCCCCCAAAGATGGAAGTGCACAGCCAATCCTTTCAGGTAGTGGCTAGTTTTATTCTTTAAAGATTAAACCAAGCTATAGTCCCTCCTGCTCCACAGTTATAGCTGATGTTCATCATTTCCCTCAACTGCTGCACATTCTACTTTCTCACACCTTTGGGCAACATTGCAAAATAAACTTTTCTTCTTTATAGGTATTTTGTCACAGTGATGCAAAGTTGTTTTTGTTTGTCAAATAACAGTTGCTGTGAGTGCTCATTTTCAACTCTCACTTGGGCACAGAATCACCAAAAAAGGCCCCAGTGGGTCCTGCACTCCATCATTATGGTTTGTGTCTAAATGTTCTCCCAAGGCCTCATGCAGTCTTGGGATGGGCTTCTGAAGGTTATGATTAATTCATGATCCAATGCTAGGATCATGGGTGTGAGTGCCATGCCTGTCCTGAAGCAGGTTGCCTAAATGCAATATAAGGGGAGGGAAGCTGTTGGCTCTTTGCTGCTGCTCCTCCCTTTTGCTCTTGCTGCTCTTCGTGCTTTTGCTGTTTTCTGCCACCATGAACACCATGAACTGTTGCCCTCTGCCACCTGCCACCCTGCCTTAGAGCCAGCCAAGTATGGACTGAAACCTCCACAAACTGTGAGCTAAATAAACCTTTCCTTCCTTAATTCTGGGTGTCGGATGTTTTTGTCCCAATAATGAGAGAAAAGTAACCAAGACATCCATATGTTTTGCAATCCATGTGTTTTTGCTCTCATCATGTAGCAAAAAGTACAGTTCCCCAGGGCCAAGCAAAGCAGCCGTAACAACCATTCTGTTCTTCATAAAACTTGCTGTTATTGTAGGACTATCAACTATCAGGAGCATCTTACCTGTCATCTGACACATCTGTACAGCATCCTATCAGCATATTCACTTGACCTATTCTCAGGATTAGGTCTAATTAGAAAAATGTCAATCAGTTTAGGGGAGAACCAGCATGGTGCTCTGTGGAAAATGAATATGGCCAAGATCACCACAAACATATTACTACAGACAGCGGGAGAATTGACACAGATCCAGGACAAAGAAGTGAGGATTTACTGTTGACCTTTCCAATGCAAAGGCAGATTGCTTTTGATCATTTCTCCTGATGAGAATCATGAATAAAGTATTCAGCAAAACAAGAGCCACAAACTGTGCCACAGGGCAGGTTGATTTGCTACAATAAAAATGAAGTCTGGTACAAGATATAACTGATACAATCCTTTGTTAAATTCATTTTAGTCCACTGATACACACCACTGTCTATGTTTGTGTTTTTGTATAGAGAAATCAGAAAGATGAAATGACTGGAGACTATAGGGGCACTACCACTTCACCTCTGCTCTTTCCTTTGCTTGAGATTGGGTCCCTTTATGTTGCCTAGGATGTCTTGAATTCATGGGCTCAGGTGGTCCTTCTGTCTCAGCCTCCTGAGTAGCTACAACTGCAGGCATATACTATTGTGCCTGGCATCTGAGGATTTTTTATTTTTATTTTTTTGTATTACCAGGGGTCAAACTTGGGACCTTGTGTTTGCCAAGCAGACACTTAGGCTGCTGACCTATCTCCCCAGTCCTCTGAGGTTTTTTTTTTTTTTTTTCTTGTTTTGTTGTTGTTATTTTCATCTTAGTATTTTTAAGTCTCTGTTGGTAGTAATTTCTGCAATTCTTCCTCGTAGGTGATATTGCTTCTGCTATACTATCTTGGCCTGAAAGGAGATTTTTAAAAAGCTTACACTATCTTTTCTATCATAATATCCCTTAATTCGTAGATCAGAAATTAGGCACCAACTTCTGAGTTTATCTGCCCCAGTAAGCATTCAGAGGCTAGAAAAATTACCACAGGGTTCTTAGATCCCTTGAATCCATTGTAAAATGGACTTAAGTGAAACCTTATTTATAATAGTGTATATCTCTAAGACTTCCTTTATAATTTGAAGGCAAGAACAATGTTTTAGATCCATTGTCAGATGTGACCTCATTCTAACCATCCTCAAGCAATATAGGTGTTTCCTTTCCTCCAGTGTGTACTTGCACTGGCAAACTTGAACAAGGATCAGGGACACATTTGCTGCATTGGCAACATGGGGAGGATCCAGCTTTCCTTCTTATGAATGGGCTCTACAGCTTTGAACTAGTATGGATCCCGTCTCTAGAAATAGCAGTTTTCTATTGGGTTGTCTAGCATCTCTGTGTTTTCATTGTTTCTTTCTCTCTTTTATAAAAATTTATGTATTTGGTACAGGGTCTCACTACACATAAGGATCCACCTGTTTCAGCCTCCACAGTGCTGGGATTATAGGCGTTTGTGACCACGCACGCTTGGTGGCAGGCTCAGAGTTACCGGGAATCAAACCTGGGTCCTTCTGCTTGCTAGACATTTAGATCACTGAGCTATCTCTCCATCCTGAAAAATTTCCTTTTCTAGCCATAATAGTAGACCTCTTATACAAGGCACCTTGACTGCCCTCTTGGCCATACTACCCATTATGGTAACCACAACCATCTGGCCCCTGCCTTGTCAGGACCCTCATATTTCTGTGGATGGTGGGGACTCCAGGACCGCACTCTCCCACTATAGACCTTGGCCCGAGAAGACAGCAGTGTGTTTCATTAGTGTTCTTGCCACATTATCAGTGCATTTTTTAGTGAAGAAAATGTCTTCTGAATTTTCCTCAAAAGTAAACTCTGGGCTGGTGAGATAGCTCAGCAGACTAAGCACCTGCATAGGCAAACACAGGGATCAGAGTTCGATCCCTAACACCATAGGCTGCGAGGGCCCTGCCCCCAGGCTTCCTTAGCCAGTCACTGAGACTGGGTGTGGTGGTGCATACCTGTAATCCCAGTGCTGGGAAGGCTGAAAATGGGAGGATCACTAGGAGTCCGAGCTGCATAATGAGACTATGTACCAAATACAAAAATGCAAAAAAAAAAAAAA